ATATATATATATATATATTGATATATATATACGATTGCGTCTAGCATGAAACAGGCTGGCGCCTCCGAGTGTTGACTTCAATATTTACTTATATATATATATATATATATATATATATATATATATATATATATGTACGATTGAGAAAAAAGACAGATGTGCTAAAATACACAGTTCGTAGCATTTTTTTTAGAAAAGTGCTCAATACATAGTAGAGCAAAATGTTATTATAATATTTTTATTATAATAAATTACAATAAAAACATTTTACATGGCAACACAAAATCTTTGAGGTTTCGATACTAAGATGGTACTTCTTCAGGCGATGGTAGATAATAGATCAAGCATCCGATTAAGTCCGACTTTCAAGGCCAGATGCCGCGTGTTTCAATCTCCCTTTTGAGACGCGAGGGAGGCGCTTCTGGCCAAGCGTGGGGCTTCTGCGTCGCACAGCGTTGTCTAACAAAATCAAATTCACGAGAATGGCCTCGTCAAATATTTTGTCTAATCCAGAGGGAAGAAAGGTGATAAGGAGAGAGGATGACGATCCCGATGACCAGATGCAACCGGTGCCGACTAATAATTATATAACACTGATAATACTAATGTATTTAATTAAGTTAGATTTATAAAGAAAGAATAACAAAAACAGAAAAAAGACAGAAGGATTCGAGCCTTCGACCCCCCCTCTCCCCGGGCAGAGGGGGGGCGTCGTTAGATCCGACGTACCTTAACCAACTCGGCCAGGAAGAAACAAGACCTGAACAGCGCATTTAAGACAAATCCTCCTCGTCATAGACAACTCGAAATTGTCAAATCTGCCCAGTTTCGTATCCAAACGTAAATAAAGTAATTTTTAAAGAAGTAATGGATTTTTTAAAAATGCGACATCACATTAAATATTATTTTTAGTAGATGGACAAATTTGGGTAGACTCCCTGTTCAGTTATTAAACAATATATTTTATTTATTTTCGTCTACCGGCCTGAATATTAGAAAAATCGTATTAAAGAAAAATATGCGCTCTCCGGCAGGATTCGAACCAGTGTCCCCCTGAGCAGAGGGCCATAACCGATTCGGCTACGAAGATGCGATAGATAGATAGATAGATAGATAGATAGATAATGATGCAGACTGGGATAGATAGATAGATAGATAGATAGATAGATAGATAGATATGATGAAGACTGGGATAGATAGATAGATAGATAGATAGATAAGGAACTAGTAGGAAAACCTTTGTAATTTTGACATGTTTCACTATTAATTTAGCTTCATCTGAAATATAAATATACGAATAAGGGAATAAATATATGATGAAATGGAACTAATGCTTTTAATTTAATTGCAAAATTAAAATTGTGGCTTTTAGCTTCTATTTTTGAAACATGGTTAGAACTGTGTAGTGGAAAAAACATATTTTAAATCAATTAATTTATAATATATATATATATATATATATATATATATATATATATATATATATATATAAAGGCCTTAGGCACGTCAGATCTAATGAGGATTTCACCTAGTGTTATGGTCCAGGTTAGGACCAAGGAAGACGAAGGTATATTACATAAAATAATAATACAAGATGTCAGTCTGGTTTGGAGTGAACTACTATCGGTTCGACTAGATTCGATATTTACTTGCTCCCCCCCCCCACGAGAGAAAGATGTGGCACAAGGCCGAGTTTTACGTGGGCTCGGTCAAAAAATGCCCGTAGAACTCGTATAAACGGGATCGGGTTGGTCAATCTCCCCGAACGAGACTCTGCCCTTCGGCGAAGCCTCGTCCGGGTTCCTCTCTGCTCAGAGGCAGAGAGTTCGACCGTCAAGCCGAGAAGCTCGACACGATTCGGTATCTAGCCACCCACCCCACGAGGGTTGCATGCGACACAAGGTCATTTTTATCGTGGGTTTCCTGAGCCCGTAGGCTCAGCCAAAAATATGCCCGTATGACTCGTAAAAACGAGATCAGGGTAGGTCATTCACCCCGAACGAGATTCCAAAGAGGCAGAAAGTTCGACCGTCAAGTCGAGAAGCTCGACTCGATTCGTCTCTCTCTCTTGAGAGGGGTAGTATACATAGTGTTAGGAAGAGTTCATTCTGTAGTTATAGGTAAGGACCCATGACACCTAGGGAACGCAGGTTCGAAACATGGCAGAGTTGTCATATTTTTCTAACAAAAATTCTCGAATATTTAGAATGGTCGATGTAAATAAATATACAGCTTAATAAATGGATAAAAACAGAGCATCCACTCAAATACATGTACTATTTAAAAAATAACGTTTAAACAAATATATATATATATATATATATATATATATATATATATATATATATTAGTGGTAAATATACACATACATATATTTGTATTAAAAAAAATATTCCAAGAGGATAGAATCCAGGTAGAACTCAATGTCCAGGACAGAGTAAGGATATAATAAAAAGGCTTAAACACTAATATTCCAAGATAATTTATTCCATTGGAATCGTAAATACGATCAAATTCATCAGACCTATAAATTCAAAAAGAAAACAGAAAAAAACAACTCCGGAAATAAAAATAGAATTTAGAGAGTGTAAGTATGAGAGTGTGGGACGAATGTTAGAGCTAAAGAGAGGGGTAACAGACGAGAAAAGGTGGGAGATTAAAACTTAACAGAGAGAAGTTTTAAAGAGGTGAGTCAAAGACGGTTTAAGTGAGAGAAATATGAATGTTGTCGGATGTCTAATACATTAAAGATGTAACCGGAAAGGATACATTTTGTGGTGACATACACACACAATAGACGATCTAATCTTAAAGATCAGAAGAAGAGGGAGGGAGAGGAAAAGAAAAGAAAAGGGGGTGGGGGAGAGAGATGGGGTGGGGAAACTAAAACTGAAGGGAATTTATTAAAAGGTCCGCTGTGTAATTAAGAAAATTTGACAAAATTAATATCGACTACAGGTTACAAATCAAATATAAACATATAGAAAAATAAATATAACTATTATCTAATCTATCAAGGAACTATATTTCTATGTTCAAAAACACATGCGTATACACACATACACAATAACATATTTACATTTACACGTACATACATACATATAGGCGTGTACACACATACACGAATATACCCATGTACACACACACACACATATATATATATATTCATATACATATATATATATATATATATATATATATATATATATATATATATATATACATACATACACATACATATATGTATATATGCCATCGGATTTGTTACCTTTACTATATATATATATATATATATATATATATATATATATATATACAGTGTAACCTGGATATAAGAGAGTCGTCGGGTCCGGAGAAGAAGTCCCTTATATCCGGGTTTCTCTTATATCCGGGTTGGGTCTAATTTATATACATTAACACAGGCTCTAATTTGGGACCAGATAAAATCTCTCTTATATCCGGGTCTCTCTTATATCCGGGTCTCTTATATCCGGGTCTCTTATATCCGGGTTACACTATATATATATATATATATATATATATATATATAGTAGTGGTAACAAATCCATTGGCATATAATCCAAGTGGGTCCTAGTAATATTAAACCTAGTCCATAAAAAGAGATCAATGTATTTATTAGTGCAGATCCATATAATTAATAAACAATAAAATCCAAAATCACTTCATATGAGAAATAGCCTATTTCGGCAGACGAAGATATCAGTAGACTGATGCTTCAACCCCGGGGTTGCGGCGGGAAATAGAATTTAACCGTGAAAGATAAAAAGACGTCAACCAGTAGAAAAACTAATACAGATTTTATCCATTTCAAAATTTCAATCAGATGAAAGGGTAGAAGTTTCATAAAATTAAACCCGGATATTAACCTTATGACGTTAATTTGGTATTATGTGAAGAAAGAAATATTAATTTAAAATTAAAAGAGGAATAAAATGCTTCTAAAAATAAATTTAAAATATATAAATCAAAGGATGTAAGGGATAATTTCGTCTGACTAAAAAGCTTTTTAAGTTTCACATTTAGATTTTATTTCTCGCCTCTCTTTCACTGTACAGACACGAACTCACTCCAAACCGAGGTTGATATGACAAACCACCGATATCTTTGTCTGTTGAAATAGGCTATTCCACATATGATGTAATTTTGGATTTTAGAGAGAGAGAGAGAGAGAGAGAGAGAGAGATGGCCATCTTCTACCTTCTTGGAACTCGTTCAACTTTTATCCTTTCTCACCCCCACCATACGCAGTCTTTACTCTCATCTTCACTCCTGTACCCACCACCACCACTGCGTACTAGCGGTATTCCCGCCTTGCTTAGAGTGAAATGATTAAAATATCAATATATATATATATATATATATATATATATATATATATATATATTTATATATAGAAGATATGGGGAATAACCTATTTCGGCAGACGAAGATATCGGTCATCTCTCTATCCACCCTGGTGTGGACTGAGTTTGTGTCTGTACAGTGAAGCAGGGGGCGGGAAATAAAATATATATATATATATATATATATATATATATATATATATATATATATATAAAGCTAATATTAAACGTTTTCTTTAATAAAAAAAATGTCAAATCCTCAATAGAACTTATGTCGAGTCCGTTCTATTTAATAATACATGTCTAAACGAATGATTGCTGCCTAATATATTTTCAATATGTATATATATGTGTGTGTGTGAGAGAGAGAGAGAGAGAGAGAGAGTTCGTGTGTTGAGGGTGGCGAATGATGTGTGTGTGTGTGTGTGTGTGTGTGTGTCTAATTTCTTATACTACTAATACCAGATAATTATACTTGGACACTCAATATTTTCCGTTCCCTGATGCCTCAGTTATCTCGCCCCTCTTTTCCGTACGTCAGTCTATTTTCCTGCATGTCTGTCTGCCTGTCTGTCTGCTTTTCGCCTCTTATCATCGTGCCCATCTTTTTATCGCTTTTCTTGTTTCGGCGCCCTCATGTCCCGCCATTTTGTGCGCGCATGCGTGTCGGCTGTGACTGCATCTTCATAGAACGACCCAATCTCTTCAATATCATGTTCTCTCTCATCTTTTTTTCTCTTGATTTCTTTCGTCTTGTGTGTCGTTCCCCAGTTTCCACACTTCTTTATGTTTTTCTTTCACCATTTCTCTCTATTTTTCTTTCTCACCATTTTGTTCTTTCCTTTCTTCTTTCTTATTTTTTCTTTCTTCCTCCACAGTTATTTCTTCTTTCTTTCTCACTAGAATATTTTTCTTTCTTTCTTTCTTTCTTTCTTTCTTTCTTTCTTTCTTTCTTTCTTTCTTTCTCACTAGATTTCTTTTTTTCTTTCTTTCTTTATAGTTATTCTTTCGTTCTTTCTTTCTCACTAGATTTCCCTTTCTTTCTTTCTAGTTATTCTTTCTTTCTCACTAGATTTCTTTCTTTCTTTCTTTCTTTCTTTCTTCCTTCCTTTCTTTCTTTTTTTCTTTCTTTCTTTCTTTCTTTCTTTCTCACTAGATATCTTTTTTTTTCTTTCTTACTTTATAGTTATTCTTTCGTTCTTTCTTTCTCACTAGATTTCTCTTTCTTTCTTTCTAGTTATTCTTTCTTTCTCACTAGATTTCTTTCTTTCTTTCTTTCTTTCTTTCTTTCTTCCTTCCTTTCTTTCTTTCTTTCTTTCTTTCTCACTAGATATCTTTTTTTTCTTTCTTACTTTATAGTTATTCTTTCGTTCTTTCTTTCTCACTAGATTTCTCTTTCTTTCGTTCTAGTTATTCTTTCTTTCTCACTAGATTTCTTTCTTTCTTTCTTTCTTTCTTTCTTTCTTTCTTTCTTTCCAGTGATTCTTTCTTTCTTTCTTTCTTTCTTTCTAGTTATTCTTTCTTTCTCACTAGATTTCTTTTTTCTTTCTTTCTTTTTTCTTTCTTTCTTTCTTTACAGTTATTCCTTCTTTCTTTCTTTCTTTCTCGCTAGATTTCTCTTTCTTTCTTTCCAGTTATTCTTTCTTTATCACTAGATGTCTTTCTTTCTTTCTTTCTTTCTTTCTTTCTTTCTTTCTTTCTTCACAGTTATTCTTTCTTTCTTTCTTTCTTTCTCACCAGATTTCTCTTTCATTCTTACTTTATTTATTTATTTCTTCCTCCCCAATTATTCTTTCTTTCTCACTAGATTTCTTTCTTTCTTTCTTCCTTCCTTTCTTTCTTTCTTTCTTTCTTTCTTTCTTTCTTTCTTTCTTTCCAGTGATTCTTTCTTTCTTTCTTTCTTTCTTTCTTTCTAGTTATTCTTTCTTTCTCACGAGATTTCTTTCTTTCTTTTCCTTCCTTTTTCTTTCTTTCTTTCTTTTTTTTCTTTTCTTTTCTTTTTTCTTTCTTTCTTTCCAGTTTTTCTTTCTTTCTTTTTTTTTCTTTCTTTCTTTCTTTTTTCAGTTATTTCCTTCTTTCTTTTTCTTTCTTTCTTTTCTTTTTCTTTTTTTCTTTCTTTCTTTACAGTTTTCTTCTTTCTTTCTTTCCAGTTATTCTTTTCTTTCTTTCCACTTAGATGTCTTTCTTTCTTTTTTTCTTTCTTTCTTCACAGTTATTCTTTCTTTCTTTCTTTCTTTCTTTCTCACCAGTTTTCTCTTTCATTCTTACTTTATTTATTTCTTTCTTCCTCTCCAATTATTCTTTCTTTCTAACTAGATTTCTTTCTTTCTTTCTTTCTTTCTTTCTTTCTTTCTCAACAGATATATCTCTGTTTTCCTTCTTTCGTTCTTTCTTTGTCGTCAGTTTTTCTTTCTTTCTTTCTTTCTTGCTTTCTTTCTTTCTTTCGCATCAGTTTTTATTTTTACGCATTGGACAATACAATGTTAAATAAATGAGAAGGTTTTAATCGGACGTGATGATTGTGACAGGCTTGAAAATCAGCTTTTGAATTTCTTGCTTTCATCGCGGCTCGAACACAGTCCTCTGGCACAAAAAGAAAGTTACATAAACTACTTTAGCTAACAACGAAGACATCGTCTGTTACACCTTTTTATTCTTTCTTTGTTTTTATTTGTTTCTTTGTTTGCTTATTTATTTATTTATTTTCTTCTTCTTCCATTTTAACAACAAATACTCTTAAAATTAAAACATATTCACACTCAGTTTTTTTACATTTGATTCCTTTCTTGATTCCTTCCCCGACAATTATTTTTGACAAAAC